TAGGGATGCACCGATCTTGAGCCTGCAGGAGGTGATGCTTGAATATTAACCAGCTTTCTTGGACCCCTCTTCCTGCTAGGGCCCTACCCCATGAGATTGCTCCAAGTAGGTCCCTGAAGAGGCCAAAGTTAGCTCTCCTGAAGTCCAGGGATGTGATCTTACTTATTGCCCTGCTCCCTCCTCGTAGGATCCTGAACTCCACCATCTCTTGGTCACTGCAGCCAAGGCTGCCCCCAGCCTTCACATCTCCAACCAGACCTTCTTTGTTTGTTAGTACAAGGTCTAGCAGCGCACCTCTCCTTGTTGGTGTCTCCACTACCTGTGTCAGGAAGTTATCCTCAGTGCTCTGCAGGAACTTCCTGGACTGTTTGTGCCTAGCTGTGCTGCCTTCCCAGCAGATGTCAGGGTGGTTGAAGTCCCCCATGAGAACCAGGGCCTGTGATCATGAGGCTACTTCGAGCTGTCGGTAGAAGGCCTCATTGACTTCCTCTTCCTGATCAGGTGGCCTCACCGCCGTGTCACCTGTGTTACCCTGCCCTTTAGTCCTTACGCATAGGCTCTCAACTTGCTCTTCATCCACGCCGAGGCAGAGCTCCATAGATTCTAGTTGCTTATTTAGTTGCTTTGCGTGTCTAGTTGAATGTTTAGAAGAATGTTGAAAAAAGACAGTCTCTTGCTCTCTCAACAGGTTTTATGTTATTATTTCCTGTCTTTAAGTATAGGTGACATTCTTAAAAAGAGTTCTGGTTTAACTCGGATCTTAAAAGATGGCTTATATTTCAATAAAACTACTGAACAATTAGGGATAACCCACAGGGTCTGATGTTTCTAATAGGGTTCTTTTTACAAATGTTTTTGTGATTCCAGGCATGCATCAAAGCTTTCTCTAGGGTTTTTTTTTTTTTTTGTGATAACTATAAAATGATCAGCCTTTTCTTCATCTGACAAATATTCCAACAGTGCTGTGTTATGCAACTAAGTAACAGTAATAAAGATATGTGAAGTTCTATGTAAACACGTTTTCAGAATTGCATAATAGGTAGGGAATAGGGAGAGCATGCAGAGCCCAGGTTTTGCATGCTAATGTCAGTGTGTCCATTCAAACTGAGTGTGTGGTTTCATTCCAGCTGCTTTGCCAATGGGAGTTATGCACTCATTATCCTGTTTATTCTGTTCAAATAGTGTGGCTAGTTTTAATTATCTAAGAAATCTAGGAAGATTTTAAAGGGATTTCTATCTGATAAATGGCTAACTAAAATAAAATCATTGAATTCCAGTAAAAGCAACCTTTTATAGCAACGTATCATTGATGCATCCTTATCTAACTTATTCATCAACTTTTAAGACAAACAAAGACAAGGCATTTGACAATTAAGTGCAATGCCTTTATGACATACATGGGACTGTCACTGAACGGCTTTTAAGGAAGGATGCAAAATTGATCTATGTATTATTAAAATAGATGTAAAATGCTCATTTTGCTTATTATTCCCTGCTTGAGAGTAGACTGAAATCTTGCTATTCTAGTTCTCTTGCAACATAGATGATTTTTCTTTCCGAACTTGTCAGTAAGGAGTTGAGTGAGCCCATGGAATTAGAACAACTATATGCAAATAATACTGTACTCTCACCAAACATTTAGATGCCTTGGGGTGTTTTTCACTCAATATTTTTCTTTGGGTTGGAGTGTTCTTTCTTTAAGAGACCAAATACAATAATCCTTTTTTTCATTCTGAGTTTCGTTCTCAATATCAAGATTGAGGAGATGCAATGCCCAAACAAGCATTTTTTCTTCCCCCTATGCTCTTTTGGGAAAAAGAGTTGAAGTTTCAGTCTTATTATAATGGTGCCTGCACAGATTCTGTATTTTGAACTAAGAACAAACTGAGTTGCTGACTATGAAAAACTGAGCAAGTTCTCAGGATGAAGTTTCACACCCATCTGGCTCCTAGACTCCTAGGGATTAAGGCTTTCAGATTAGGTTATGGACGTACTGAGTAGCTCTCCTTCTGATTTTGGATGAAGGGAGGCCAGCCTTCCTCACTCTACTTTTAATAAACTATCCAAACTCTTTTTTTTTTTAATTTTTTTTTTTTTAGCTGGGAAAATCTTGCATGTGTGCCTAGTTGCACAAGCAAAATTCTCGATGATCATGCATATAGATAACATGTTTTTCCTGATCTATTTTTTGTCCTCTTTGTTTTTTTTTTAAGTCTATTTAATGTTGTCAAAATCTTGTGAATTTTCTACCTGTAGTCTCAGTAATAGTTGAAGCAGCATTGCTCTTTCATTGTAGTTGTACTGCTGTTTTTCATTTGTCAGCATGATTCGTTAAATTGAGCCAAATTCACTCTTGATGTAACTTGACCTTAGATGTATTTTGGCCCCATGTGTTTTCTCTTGCTGGAGTTATTCTTTAAATCAGTGGAACAGAAAAAGAAAAGCGTATTGAACTGTCATCCTTAATCAAATTCTCAGCTTTAAATTAGCCGTGATTTGGTCAAATCTTTCAACTGAGGAAATGGTTTAGTGTACTAATGCAGATAGTGTTCTTGGATAGCAGACTGAATTTCTTCTTAATGTTTTGTGTCCCTAGGTTTATAGAAGAACTATTTAAAATCACGTGGAGTAAAAAGATATAAAATCTAGGATTAACCAAAATGGTTTTAGGTTAATGTTTTTTTGCTAAGTTACCAAATTTGGGTATTGAGTTTGATTCGGAGCCCATCTGAAGCCTATGGGATTCATTCCATTGACAACACAAAGATTTTTTTTCATTTACACACTAACAAGGACACAAATTTGAATATTTTTCCTTGCAATTATTTACCTTGTGTCACGTACTTAAAAGTTTAAAAGGTTAAAAACATACCACAAAACATTAGTTTTATATTAAGAAATATTTTTTCATGCATATGAAAATATAATCTCATTTTGTATTAAAATTCTTTTTTCTGTATATATTTGTGTGCATTTTTATATATATGAGAAAAAGTATATATAACTAATATTTTAGGAACTCGACAATTACATTTCTTAAGGAGTTATTTTGTCCTTTTTCATCTGGTCAGTGTAGACATTCTTGTGCATTTTATTAATACATTATATTGTATATAAGTGAAAACACCTATATAATGGTATTAATAAGATCTAATCGCAAAAATATTAAGGGCCTTTATAATGTTAGTTTTGCCATGTTTTGCAGCCAACGCATAATACTTGAATAGCAAAGTACAGTAATACAGTAAGACACACCTTTAAAACAGAGTGGAAAACACTTCAGTGTGATGAAGGCATATAGCACTGATACGAAGCCCTATTACGCCTGAAAGTGCGTGGTCCTGGAATTAGGTTCTTCAGTTCTGATGTAGACAGTGCAGCTCCACGTGGCTGAGTATGGATTAGTGCAACAAGAGCACAACTTGAGTTCTCGCTTAGTGAAGCGCTAGTGGGCCGCTTCTGAGTGATGTAATTTTGAAAAAACTTCTGAAATTCTTACCGTGAAACTTAGACTACAACAAATAAATCCCGTGCTGGCACAGATGTTGTCTTACTCTGGGAAAATGTGGACAAAGTTTTCTGTTATTTTTCATTTTGTATCTTTTTATTGATATGTGCCGTGATAATTATATTTTCTGGGTGAAACTGCCGCAAAAGAGAGCTTAAAAAAGGAATATAAGCCTAAAGAGACCTCATTACAGTATAATGGCAAAACTAAATAATGCAAGGGACACGACCTTGATAAAAAGAACTTTAATACAAAACATGTTGTCATAATACGAAAGTTGAGGATTTCAACACATAAAAATGCAATTATTGTACCAACAGCACCCTAGCACCTTTGCCTCAGTGTCCTTGCACTCAGGCCTTATACTTGTTCAGCAAATGGTTTGATGTTATTGCACCTGCTGAAAAAGTATGTATTTGTATTGTTTTTGAAGTTGATACGAGGAGGTGCCTGTCAGAAGCTCTGATCTTGCCTTACAGGCATATATATTACATATAACAAAAATGAAATTAGGTCACTGCTTCCTCCCATTGAACAAAATAACCTTTTCACAAATGAAATCTATAGTACTTATAGATGTTATCAAGAGCAGTACGTGTTGCATGCATGAGTAGATGGCTATGTTAGCACTTGTGCTACTGTGCTACTGTAATTTGTTGGTAAATGCAGCCTATTGGTTTAACCTTCCGAAAGAAGTCTTCTGTTTGTGGAAAGGTGAAGATAGAAGAGACCTAACGGAACTTCTTTGTTTTATTTCATCATATTATTGTAACTTGTAATAGTTAAGAGGTATTTAAAGCAGATTTTCTCATTGTTTTTCATCCTGGATATGTTTGGAAAGGAATGTATGAATTCAGCTTTGCAGAGCTGACTGCTTTTTTGTGTGAGTTACGGTGGTTCTGCTAATATCTCCCATTAGTTCTGTTGGGAGCGATAGCTGATGATCTTGGGGCTAGACTGTGGCAGCCTATCAGATATACACGGTATCGCTCTAAGCTGTGTGCTCTGGCAAGATGAGGATAGAGAGCAGGCATGCTGCTGGTAACCTGGACAGCGTAAAATTACTGGTATTTGAGACTAAAGTTTGGGTCCTTGCATGAACATCCCAGTTTTGAGTGATGCTGGAAAAAAGTTATGAGCAGGTTAAAGTGATGCCCTATGAACATAATTCTGAATATTAGAGAAATAGCTGAAGCCTGGTGGCCCTTGATGAATTGAAGTTCTTTAGTATGTGAAGTGCCTTGCGAGGAAAGATACGGTGCCTTGGTTAAAATACGTGCTGTGTTAGTGTTGTGTACATTTTTTTGGAAAATATAGGTCTATTGTACATTCTGTAAAACACTGAATAGGATGTTTAGATTTACTTTACCTCATCAGCCTTAATTTTATATCCTCAAACCTGGTAGGCGCATTAATACTTGTCCAGATTGTACGCAACCGCATGTAAGTGCCTTCAGTTAGCCAGAAGGTCACATCAGTGGTAAGAACATTGTGTTGCAGAAGCGAGAATAACTAAGGTGTATTCTTATAGGGTGATTTGATTCATTGTAACTTCTGTTCAAAAGGTGATTAAGGAAAGTGGACCTCCTCACATGAAGAGCTTTGTCACGCGAGTTACTGTAGGAGAGTTCACTGCAGAAGGAGAAGGGAACAGTAAGAAGCTCTCAAAGAAACGTGCTGCGATGGCTGTCCTGCAAGAGCTTAAGAAACTTCCTCCTCTTCCTGTGATTGAAAAGCCAAAACTGTACTTTAAAAAACGCCCCAAAACAATATTGAAGGTATGTGTCTGTGTCTGCCTGTGTGTCAGAATTAGGAATGTTTGCTTAGGAAGTAACAGAATTGCTTCATTTTTAAACGAGGAAAAACTAATTTGTCATTTTCTGTCAATTCTTTGTCAATATTGTTATATATTTGCTTGCACTGATACGCCAGTACTTTTTTAAATTCTAAGAACACGGTGAAATTCTCAAACGTAATGACTTGTAAGGTACTATTTCTTAAGACCCGAGCTTGCATCACTGAAACGTGCAGGAGGTTGTTCCAGTGTAGTGGAGGATCAAACCCTCAGAATATCTCTGCGCATTTGTGTGAATGTTCCGCATCTACTCCGTTGGGAGGTCCTTCTGGAACATATGATGGCTCTCTCCCTGCTCTTTTCTCTCCCACCCATGCCCCCTGAAGCTTTCATTTAAAGAGAGAGATGTATATGAAAGAACAGATACATGGGGGAACGGTGCACAGTCCAGTGTCCTCCCCTCATGGAGCTGATTTTGGGAATTTTGTGGGTTCAGCTTCAATGTGTTTAGATCGTCGAAAGAGCCGAAAGAAGCCCGGCAGTTTATTCATCTGAGCTGAGTGTGTCATGTTTCAAGCTCCAAAGAAAAACAGTTGCTTGTTTCGTGTGCCTATGTTGAGGTTAGTGTTTGTTTGATAACACTCTGTAGCTCTCAAAAAGATAGAAAATAGACTGGAGACCAGCCCATGAAGGACTTGGTGACTTTGAACTATCCCTCCATGAAAATGTGCCCCATCTCAAAGGGTATTAATGTGCTTCTTGCTGCAGTAAGGCTTCCTTTAGAGGGTCTGGATTCTTGTGAGCTCAAATTTCTTAAATGGTGCTTTTATTATCAGTGGCAGCAGATTTGTTGCTGCTTCTTGAATTCAGTTAGTCCACACTGACTAGCCCTGATTTGTCCATTCATCCTAACTTTGTACAGAAGCAAAGGGCCATCTGAAGTAATCCGTCTTCCAGCTGAACTAACAAAAGTGTTCTCCAGGTATACTCGTGAAGCATCACTACATGGTCTCAGCACTGTACAATTAATCAGATTAACTTGTCATCTATTCAGTCTGAAAGCAAAGGCCTTTTAAGTAGTTAACATCTTCTACATTTCATTTTATTTGAGGAAGTATTATTTTGTGAGGAAAGCAGTTAAACTCTGGACGTGATTTTCCATTGTCTGGCATATTGGGTAGTCGTTTACACCTGTACAAAAGAATGTCTTATTATGTTTATTTAAAAGCACATTTGTAGCCTTTCATGCTTGTTTCGAATTGGGTCTACGCAACAGTGGAAAGTTAGTCACTTTCTGTCTGGTCTCACAGAGTGACTTTTGCCCTATAATCTGCAGATCGGAAACCTCAAGACTAGAACTATGTTACACAAAACAGAAAACTGTTATGTGCAAAAGCCGTACTTTGGAATATATTTATAGGACCTAAATTTAATCTATTTTTCTGTATTGGCCTCTTGTTGATTAAAAAACAAAGCCTGTTCAATTTTTGTTCTGAATTTGACAACTGTAGGGATAATAAACACACTGGTTGTGTTAAAATACACAACTATGTGCACAACTTGCATTATGTTAGGTTAGGCAGCTCTATACGAGCGAAGTCGTATAGAGTCTGAAGTTTTAAATATGACTTGAACTCAGTCCTCACTGAGTATTGCATAGACTGTAAAAATAAATAAATACTTAGTCTGAGCAAAGGTATGTCTGTTAGAAACCTGTATCCTGAGTGCAGTATGTACTGAGTGCAGAATTCTGTAGGAGCTAACAGCACAGCTATCTAGAATAAGCAAATACTTCGGAGAATGCAGAACTGGGTTTGGACACTGCACAGAGTCCTTTAATCTTCCTCCTCTCTTCATTTGCCTTTATGTCAAAGTGAGAGATTTTTCAAAGAAACCTGGGTTAATTACATACCTAGCTCCTACTGAAATTCTGGATATTGGATTCCCAAAGACTTTTGGGAAACTTTTAGCAAAAAAATATATTTAGTGCAAAACCATCAGCATTAATGCAGCTTTAAAGCTGCAAGACCTGAAAGTCGGAAAACAAAGTGTTACAGAATCTGTTGGCTCTGGCTGTCTCATTTTGGCAAATTCTGCGCAAGTACACTCTGAGCAGACTTACATGATAAGGGTATAATAATGTCAAAATTTCTTATATTACCATATACATACAATTACCATATACAGTTACAATTTTAAATTTAATTACCCAAAGTTGACCACATTAGAAACAGACGTTAATAGTCAAAACCTGGATATGCAGAAGGTCTTTATTTTTTGAATAGCCAAACCTCCAAAATGCATTTAGTTTTCCCGTTTCTTTTTGTTTAATCTGTACATATTTTGAGCATTGAAGAAAAATGACAGTAACTTTTTTTTTTTTAACTTGTATATATATTTACAAGGCTATATCTTATGACCTGCACTTTATTTAGCCTGCTCTTCATTTTGTCTCTGCCTGGCTCCTTGCCCACACAGCTGCCCTTGTGCATGACATTGTCCTGATTCTTTTACCTACATATTCCCTAACAACTTTAATGATTACACTATGAAGGGTTTGCTGCACAGCTTTCTTAATATATTATCCCTCTGCAGTCTTTCCGTTCAGTTTCTGATCTTCTCTTTAGGTTCTTTGTTCTTTTTTGAGAAGCTCAGATAAGCGTGGCTTCTGGTCTTCTCGTATTCTGCAAAAGCCTTCATAAAAAGGAAGTAAAATAATAATATAAAAACACTTCTACATTCAAATTCCGTTTACGTTTATAAGTTCTTCCTTATGCATTATGGCATATGAATTAGCCATATATGACTTCAGATAAATATGTTTGTTTCTTAATTCCTTATCCTTTCCTTATCTCTGCAAGCAAATATTTTGATAGCTGTATACTCTGAGTGAGCATTTGCCTTACGCATAACATATTAAAAGGATTTCAAGACTAGTACAGATATTTTGTAAGGACTGTAGTTTTCCACTTGTCTGTGTAATTTTGGACATACCAGTCTCTCTGTGCTTTTGTTTACCCCATCAGGTAGAGGCATGCTATCACCAACAATGCATTTTGACGATGTAGTTGTGAAGATGGATATCTGTAAAGCGTTTGAAATACTTCCATGGGTGGCTCATAGTGCAAAACGTTTGTAGCCATTGGAGATACTCCTCTCCTTGTGTTTTCTAGCTTCACTATGTAACAGCATTTCAAGGGTTTCAATTCCTATGACATGCAAACAGAGCAAGCCTTCTGCATCTTCAGTTTAGTTGTAGGATGGAAGGCAGGAATCCTGGGAGAAGTGCAGCTTCCTTGTTTTATGTCAAATCTTTTGTGTCCCTGTGTAAATCTACCTCTTAATGTACTGCATGTTCCAGTGTTGTAGCAAGCTATTTAAGGCGCTGAGGGAAGGGTCACAGAAGTAGGGCAATGAAGTATAATTGGTGAGTCTGCTTATTGTCATCCATCCCCACAGGGATGGATGCCATCCATCCTACATAGATAGTTAAGGATATTAGTAGACTGCAGATGTTGGGCATACACGCTTCCCACAACAGTGGCGGAGAGTAGGTGCTTTTACTTGAAACAATATGCACTTGAAGAATATTATCTTCTGTTACGTGATCAGCAGATGATACAAAATTTATTTCTTGTTCTCTCAAAACAAATAAGAGAGGACCATAGTAAATGATTTATTAAAATAACGTAACAGTTTTATTGGTATATGCTGAAATCATGGTTGTTCAGGGTTTTTTTTGGTTTTTTAAACTTTTTTAGACTGGACCAGAATATGGTCAAGGAATGAATCCCATCAGCCGCCTGGCTCAGATCCAACAGGCCAAAAAGGAGAAGGAGCCAGAGTATGTTCTTCTTTCAGAGAGAGGAATGCCTCGTCGTCGAGAATTTGTTATGCAGGTATCGACTGCTGTTACGTTAGAGGCAATTCTCTTATTTGGTTGTGTTCAAAAACAAGAAAAATGGTGGCATAATATAAAGCTGATCCCTATGTGTTTAACTCTTTACTTTTTCGTCAGTTGTATAGCAAGAGCCTCCTATATGTTTATCTTTTGGAGATTTCACATTTTTATACTCCTTTTATTTTTATTCCACCTAATGGTTTCTGCTTTATCTCTAGATTTACTATTTGTTCATGATTTATTCACTTTCATTTGTCTTTTTGAAATTTTGCAGCTGTTGATTGAGGTAATGCAACACTAACAAGTATTTTGAAATATCGAGGAGACTCTCCATCTTTCTGAACCTTTTCTTTTAAGAAAGTAGTGGTGTACATCTTGTAAGAGCAGGCTCCTTCCAGATTTTCACTTTCACCATGGTTTTGTTAATACCTGAAATACCACAAAAAGCTTTTCATCATGTTTTTAGCTTGTCCAGTGAAAGGTCCTGGGCCTAACAGGGAAACAGCAAATCATCAAAATTCGTATAATTTTTAAAGTAAGAACATTTTCAAAGGTTTAATATGGCCATGGTATTTTAGTAGCTGGCACAACAGCAGGCTAAGCAAGATTGGGGACAGGAAAGAACTTTTTTTTTTCTTGTCATGTTTTCACTCAGATAATTTTGTGCTGGAACGGTTCAGAACAGCATATCAGAACATGTTTTGACTTTTTGTCTACAAACCGCACCAAGATGTCACTTCTGATCACAAGTGGAATTCATGATGTTCCAGCACCTCCTTCTCTACAAAATTAGTTATGTTTTCACTTAAATCTTTAAATCCATCTTTCTTGTGTACCTGTATCTTCCTATCTTGGATCTCAGTGGTCTTTATGGAGAATTTATTATTTTTCTTTCTGGAAAAAAAAGATACTGGGCTCTTTTTCTGTCTAGAGTTATTGTTGCAGAATCTGTATATATATGAGTATAGACTTAGATTTCCACTTAGATTTTTATGTGATTTGAAAGTATTTGAAAAAGAGTAATCCTGTCATAGACTCTTTCTTCCCCTGCTCAGTCTTTCTTGGGAGAGTCCGCAGTCTGAGGTGGTTCTTTGAGGTCTCAGAAAATGACTGGGTACAGCAGTTCAGTATCTAAGAAAAAGTGGCAGAGAATTTGTTTCTTCACTGAAGTATTCTCAGTAATAGTAATCTTTGGTCTGAATCAAAAAATAATCTTATAGGAAGTTAATGCATAGGAGATTCCTATGTGAAAGGGTGAATCAAAGACATTCCATGGATCAATCGCTTTATTATGTATACTTGTAAATACTGTAACCTCATTTTTAACCTTTTTTTAATATTTATACATTAAAATCATACTGCTGTTTCTTTTGCCTTCAGGAAGTCTCAGTGGATTCATCATGACACGCAAAAAAAACCTTATCAGAATAAAAAGCCTTTGTATAAACTACTTAAACAATGTTTTCATTTAATTTAATTGAATGTGGAAGTGAAATATCCAGAGATAATATGTTCATTTTTATCTGTCACACAAAGAGCAAGTTTAGATGTGATGAAATGGATCCAATTACTTGTCCTTACCACTAAATAAACAGAAGAAAACCTCTGATGACATTAGTTGGTGTTCTATTCCCAAAGTCAATTTCAGAAAGCTCCTTCTCTTTTTAGTCAGACCTTTAATCCTTGGCAGAGGTTATAATAACAGCTAAACCGGTTTTACAGGTCCGAGAAATAGCAGCACGTTGATTTATTGTAAGCTATGTTATAAATTATCATTGTGTCTTGTCCCGTTAAAGTCCTTCAATGTTACTGCGTACAAACTTATAGGAGGTTGGCTATTTTCTGATTGTGATTGCAGAACTGCATAAAGGATAAGCTTTTTTATTTCATGATTGCTAATATTTCTGTTTTATGTGGCTGAATCTTTTTGTTTAGTTGTGTATGTATTTTTTCCAAAGGATGTTTACAATCATTCTTATTTATTGACAGTTTTTCTTTTGTGTTTATAATTAGTAGTATTTGAAATAAAAAAGCTTAAACTTTTTGGAAAATATATACATGATAATTTGATGAAAGTCAATAATTTTTAAATAACAAATCTTAAATAGCATTTTTTATTTATTTAACAAGTATGTGTCTGTCTAATTTTTTTTAAAGCTCCTTCTGGAATATTTCAGCTCTTTGACCTCTTAAGGGACCTTTTATTCTAGTTGCCTTGTGCATTGTATTGTTTTTATTTTACTTTGGTTTCCATTTTTAATATACTTTTGAGACCATCCACCATTTTTAGAGGCAATTCAGCAAATACAATGGCTTAATGCACAAAGTGACATGTAGCTATTAAAGAGCTATGAATATTCGACAGATGAATGTGAATGACAGAGCTAATACCACAGACAAGGCACATACAACTTGTGTGGTTTATGAATGGTACCAAACTCAAATAATACGTTACAGCCACACTCTTAGTGGATATCTGTTGTCCGTAGTACGTCTTTATTTTTAGGTTTTAACTTCTAGTTTTGTGAAAGGCATCTTGCTTGTCAGAAAACCTTTATGTAGTGCGAACAACAGGTTTGCAGCTTTCCAAGTAATGCCTTGATGAAAGCTAGTCAGGTGCAAGCAGTGAAGAAGGAAACAGCCGTGAGTCCTCCTTGCACTTGTTTCCCTGGGGACTCAACCCCTATGTTCCTCGCTGCGCCATGCAGAGGCAGGAGTACGCAGATGGCTGTCGTCTGTCTATAGAAATTGCTGTCTTTTAAATCTCCAGATCGTTTATTTTGTCTCCCTTGTTCTGGATACTGTTGCAATCATGCTGGAGAGCTGCTGCAGACCCCACTTCTACAAGGAAAAGAAGTCCAGATCCTGTAGCACCTCCTCCTTTAAAAAAGAGGAGAAAGCAAGAGTCGGGGGTGGATATTCAGCAGGGGAAAGGGATTGGCACAGAACCTGGTGGAAAGGAGAGGACTCCATGTGCGCACTGTAGATATACAAAAAAATAGCTCTTTGTGAATTTGAGGACCTTCTAAAAAATGCAAGCAAGCTCACCTGTGGGAAGTAGCATTGTAGTCCCCTTTTGCACTGTTCTTATTTTTTGGAGATTGCACCATGAAAAGGGCTGACGCAGTTGTTGGTAGGTCAGCCGGATTATTATGTGGTGATATTGAAAGGTCATGTACTTACCATGTTTATGATCAATATATTTTTTTTAAGGTAAAAGTAGGCAATGAGATTACTACTGGAACAGGCCCAAACAAGAAAATAGCTAAAAGAAATGCAGCAGAAGCAATGTTGCTACAGCTGGGTTATAAAGCCTCTACTCCTCTTCAAGATCAGCCAGAAAAGGTGAGAACCAGTTGTTATGATGGCAACATTTCACCCTTTGTCCAGATATCTTAGCTGTTTCAACTTAGTAAAATCAGAACCTTAAATGTATGCACCACCTGTTACTCAGGTGTATTTCAAACCTTATTCTTCATTTAGCTACAACTCTATAACTACAGTGAATGGTGAGTGCAGCCTGTCCTCTTGTGAGAGTAAGAACAGAAATGTAATTTCAGGAGTATAGTGTATGTGCAAAAATACGTGCTTGTAACATGAGTGCACATATTTCTACTTAAAAAATGAGGGCACACATGCCTCTTGCTTTTATTCCATTTTTGGTGTCCATGATAGGATACGTCCTCTCTTCTGAAACTGCGATATCCTGTATCATTAATTTTCATGTATGATATTATTAGTTGTCATATGTGAAGTAGTCACAGATGTTTGTCTTACTGTTGCATATGCACTAAAAGCACTCTAGGAAAAGATGGCTTTTTCAAGGCCAAGAAACACGTGTGTCAAATTTTTGTGGAAAAGTAGTAGATGACATTTTAAATTCATTCATGTTGCAGGTTAGTGATGTGCAGCTTAACACTGCTCACCTCTCTTGGGCTTGTTGTTGATAAAACAGTTTTATTACCACAATTGAGTGTTAAGATTTTGCTTTTTATATCCTGAAAAGACCAGAGCAAGGTATTTGGCTAAGCAGTGGACTCAGCAGAGCTTCTGTCGTATGCATGAAGTCACTGCACGATACTTTCATCGGAGCTTACCTGTTTACTGTTACTGCACCAGCTCAGGTCAACAGAATGCTCTACTGGGGTTCTGTAGGGCCCACATAATAAACCTGTATACATACAGTACTGTATTCTCTTCTGAGTGGTGGCTCAGTGGTGGCCTCCTTTTCCGTTTAGGAAAAGACTATAAATATATCACAGAATCACAGAGTAGTTTAGGTTGGAAGGGACCTCTGGAGATCATGTAGTCCAACCTCCCTGCTCAAGCAGGGTCCTCTAGAGCATATTTCCCAGGAAAATGCATATGCATATTCTCCGATCAATGTGCTCTTCTATTTTTTTTTCTCAAGAAGTAACTCTTTTAGCTAGGCAGAGATAACTGCTATACTGTTTAGTTGGCTGTCCCTGCTTATATCTCCCTCTCCTTCGAAAGGAGGAGCTGTGTGTATAATATTCACATGCCCTTTAGTACATCTTTCACTATATATCTTAAACCATCTAATCTCAAAGTACTCAGGTGCAATTCTTGAACCTGAGTACTTTGAGACTAGATGGTAATTTCCAGTGAGAACACGTGCAGTCATTACCGTTTTCAAAGGCGGTCAAGTAAAAAATTCATGCTTGAACTTCTCTACTGTCAAAAATATTTTCTGCTACTTTCAACTTTCTGTTCCCTTCCAATTTGGCTGAAGGGCCTTTTAAAAAACAAAAAAGAGAAGTCAACTTATTTTGTAGTAGGAAAATACAGTTTTTCATTCTTGAATTTCGAACTGGCTGAACTGCTTTTACTCAGTAATTCTCAGAGATAAAGCCTGAAAAATTTCAGCATGCAACATAGCTGCTTTGGAGAGCGCTGCACAGTGGAAACTTATGGTTCCAATGAAATTGTTAAAAAAAATTTGAGGGTCTGCTTTGCTTTCCCATGTTTATTAGCCTACTGCTTTCAAGTGAATTGTTTTCAAAAAACAGGCTTATTTACATACTCTGCAGGAGTAGATACCTTGGAATTAATAGAATAAATCATATAACATGCTAATATTATTCTGAACGCAATGAGCAAACATAATACTGTATACACAAAATGTGAACTACTCAGATTTTATGAAATGGGAGTATTCAAGACACTAGAACAAATTTTTATAGCTTGCTGGGGTCAAGGGCATAAAACATCATTAGACCATCTAGTCCGATCTTCTGTATATACCACACTGAATATTTAAAGGAGCTACTCAAATTAGTCTGAGTAGATTACCTACACACAGAGCAGGAGAGACTGAGGTGCCAGTAGTTCTTTGTTCCAGCATACGCTAAATCTGGGTTTGAGGCTCTTATTACCAAATCACAATGCTATGGCCCTATGAAACAAAGAGCTAATCCAAGAAAAATTTCACCTTGCTAGTTCAGAATACATTGGAGCTTTTTTGATTGATTAAATTTGTATTGCCAGACTTCATTTCTTTTGGCAGACATGCAGTTGTGTATCTGTACGTAGTATGGATGAAATGTATTCTCCTGAGTGATCTGAAGGGCGCTTTAATTCAATATGGAAAAATGTAGAATCCGTGCTAGAGGAGTCAGCACTAGCTGGGAGCTGGTTAGGGTGAAAGCTACTCAGATAATCTCCTCAGCCGAAACATGTCCAGTGCTCGAGAAGAAGGTAGATAGCCCTTAGATCTCTACCAATTTGAGCACTGCAAAATTTCTTCCGCATGAAGTGCACAATAGAGATATTTTATTGGAAGATACTTGTTTCTCTCTGAATCCTAAGTAAGGCCCCAAGGTAGCTTAGCTAGACGTATCAACTTGACATCTAAATGGAGAATTTTCACTTATGTGTTGTCTTTGATGAGTTAAAGAAGTAGACACTTCCACCCTGAGTCCTTTCAACTCTTCCTCCCTCCACAAAATAAGCAGTATCGAATTCAGTGTTCTTTCCTCACACCCTTGCTGCATAAAATTTGATCATATTCATTGTTTTAGTGAAGAGCTAAGAGTGTTACGTTACAAGGGCAATGCATGTTGCTAATGGCGGTACAGGTATTCCAAATGATGTAAAAAAGTAAAAGCTCTGCTCTTCTTTTTACTGAGGTAATCAGATTGGTAGCATGTTCAACCTGGTAGCATTTGTGCAGAGCCCTGAGGAGAGCAATTTGAAAATTTGGGAAATTTTTTGCAGCTATGAGAATTTTAGCTCTGTGGATGAAATTGGAGAATTGTAATGTTTTCAGTTTTTCATGCTTTTATCTTTTCATTTCTTCTTGACGTTTTTTTGAGAGAAATACACCAGAATAGATGGTATTTGTGTGAGACAGCAACACTAAGGCTGACTGATTCCTGAATTCTTGTTAAGCTCCCCATCATGAAGTTAATAAACAGTAAAAAGAGAGGAACTGAGAGTTAGAAACATTATTCGTTGTATTCCTGCAGTGTGCTTGGGAGATTTTCGTATCCTGTTCTGGATTCATGATAAAGCCATTCTGTTGTAACAGACAACAGTAAATACAGGCATATTAACAGATTTCATATTGTCTATTCATTTGAAGAGCTGTCTATTCCATGTTTTCCAGTATACTTATTGTCTGCTTCATGATAAGAATTAAAGTTGTGTGGAATTAAGATGCATGGAAGTGGATGACCAGTTTGAGAAACAGCTCTAAGACCTATCCCCTCTTTCCACTAAATAACACTTTGTTTTATTGTGCATCTCCTATACTGTGATGTTATGTACGTTGTTGTGTACATGATGAGGAAAGGCAGGGAAATAGTCATTGGGGTAGCTACTTTCCTTCTGTCGTCTTCCCAGAGAAAACATATCTTCTAGTAGTCAGCATTATAAGGTAATAGTAGCCTAAGCCACCTTGACTTAACCTTTGAGATGCAACCATGGAATCATGGAAAGGTTACAGAGGCAGGAGAAGATGTGGGGTGGACACGTCCCCCATGACGGGAGGACAGAGAGCAGCGTTCTGTCCCAGCTTGTAAACCAGATAGGCCCTCTCCAGAGGACGAGGCTCTGTCAGACTGCAGACTTTAGGCCCTTCTTCTTGTCTCGCTTCCTGTCAACCCCTTCTCCCAGAACTAATGATTATGACTTTGTCATGGTTTATAGTAATGGCTTATAGGCTGCATTGCTGTGAGGTTTTCTGTTTGCATGTAAAATGCCAGTGAAATCTGAAAAGAATCATTTGATTCACTTCCGCTGAGCTGGTTATCAATAGCTTGTAGTTTCTAAGGAAGCCTGGACTTGTTTCTGTACCTTTACACAGAAATCTAGAACAATACTATTTTATCTTTACTGTGTTTGACTTCAGGAATGGCCATATTTTGAACTTAAGTGTTAATTGCTTCTCTTTTCTGTGTCAGAACGATACCCAGTGTTAAACATAGTGAAATCCAATTGTAGGCCATTAGCCTGCTCAGCAAAGGTCTATATGTTAAAGTCATGGAAAATTGTAAGACTCTTTATTGCTTCTCTTCAGGGATTAAATGGATTCCTAGTGAGTAAATATTTTAAAATTACACCTGAAATACTTTATAGTGTTTATGCATTCTTTCATAGACAGATAATAGGTTCTTCTTGTTTCAAAATGTAATTGCTGTACTGTCTGTGTATGTTCCCAACTGAGAGCTGCTTAAAACATTTGATTTTAAGTCTGAATTGGTTACATATTGAGTTGAGTCTAATACTTGGGGAAACATTTATATTTCAGTGTTGGGCAATAGTTGTAAATGTTTATTCATGAAGAGTACAATCCTCAAATAGCCTATTTTAGACCAAAAATTAAGATACATCAGCAAAGTTTTGTGAGCAGAGGTGTCAATACTAAGTCATCCTTTTTAGAATCTTTCAAACAAATTTATAAATCTGAATATTTTATTTAAAATGTAGTTTGCCATTTACTTACTTATCATTTTCTACCTGTTTCAGCTCGGAGAAAATAAGAGTTGGAATGGCCAGAATGTTGGGTTTCCTGAGCCAACAAGTAACAGTGAGTATTACTTTCTGTATTCATACTTATTTTTACTTCTTTTTTTCCTCTTTAGGATTTGGATTACTTGATATATTAGGCTTTTTATTGCAGTGAATTAACTCTTGAGTGTTGTGTGAGTATAGACATGAATGAATGCTGGAATAAGAAGATTTTTGTTTACTAAATGATCATAGAATCCTTCAGGTTGTAAGAGACTTTAAGAGGTCATCTAGTCCAATCACTTACTCAAAGCAGGGTCAACACTGAATTCAGACAAGGCTACTTAAGTTATTTTCCTGCCAGGTCTTGAAAAGTTCCAGGGATGGAGATTCCACAGCCTCTCTGGGCAGCTTGATCCATTGTTTTAATTATTCTCACACTTTTTTTTCCCCCCCTCCCTTTTATCCAGTCCGAACCTCTCCTGGTTCAGTTTATGACTGTCATCTCTTGTTCTTCTGCCGTGCATCTCCGTAAAGTACCTGGCTCCCTTTTTCTGGCAACATCTTCTTAGGTATTGGAAAGCTATTATTAGGTACCCCCAAGCCTACCACTGTCCTCGAAGCCTGATCATCCAAACAGTTTTTCACCCATCTAGTAGTCTGTTCACCTAGACTATAACATCCCAACTTGGATAAAAGGATACTGTGGGAGACCATGTCAAAAGCCTTGTTAAAATCAAGGTAAATGGTATCCACTACTCTCCCCTGTTCATAAATCCTGACACTTAATCACAAAAAGCAATCAGGTTGTTCAGGTATTATTCATCCTTGGTAAATCCGCGTGGACTGTTCCCAATCACTTTCCTCTGTATGTGCCCAGAAATGGTTTTTAAGAGGACTTGTGCCACAATTTTCCCAAGGACCAAAGTGAGGCTGACCAGCCTGCAGTTCCCTACATTGTCTTTCTTGCCTTTGATCATGGGTGCAACATTTGCCTTTGTCCAGTCATTTGAGACCTCCGTGACTTTTCAAAGATGATAGAGAGTGACCTTACAATGACATCGGCCGCCTCATTCGCACCCTGGGATCTATCTCATCTGATCCAATGGACTTGTACAGACTGAAATTTTTCAAGAGACCTCTAACTCCGACCTTTCACTCGTGGTAGTTTCTCTTTTCCTTGAACCCTGTCTATAGACACAAAGGCCTAGAAGACCTTGTTGGTGAAGGCCAAGGCAAAAAAAGCATCTGTATCTGCTGTCACGAAATCACTCTCCTCCTTTAGCAGCATTTTCTTTGTTTATTCTTTTACTGTTAGTGTAATGATAGAAGCTCTTCTTGCTGCCCTCGAGGTTCCTTGCCAGTTTCAGCTCTAGGTTAGCTTTAACTCTCATGACACCCTTCCTGCATGCCTGGGCAATTTTTCTAAACTCTTTGTTGCCTGTAGCTGCTTCCACCTCTCGGTATACATTCTTTTTGCTTTTGAGCTCAGTCATGAGTTCCCTGTTTAGGCAACGTGATCTGCCGATACGGCTACTAGTTTTCCTGAGTATCAGGATAGTCTGTTCTTGTGCTTGGAGGAGGTTGTCCCTAAAGACCTGTCAGCTATTTTGAGCTGCTTTATACTTCAGAGCTGCCTTTCCTGGAATCTCATCTACTAACTCCTTGAATAAGCTGAAATCTACTCTCTTGAAGCCCAGAGACTGTACTCTACCATCTGCCTTCCATATTTCCCTCAGAATCTTCAGAAGCATCAGTATTTCATGTTTGCTAAAGCCAAGGGTGCTACTGGTTACCACATCTGCAATAAGTTTTTCCTTGTGTATGAGTAGCAGATTCAGGACAGCAGCAGTACTGGTTGGCCGTTCTATCATCTGTGATAAGAAGTTTTCTCTGACACTCTCCAAAACACTGGCTTATGTCTCACCATATTGCTCTTTCAGCACAAGTCATGGAGGTTGAAGTCCTCTATAAGAATCAGCATCTGTGGTTTGGAGACTTCCTCGCGTTGTCAGATAGCAAACTTTTATTGAATTAATTCATAATACTGCATTTGTTCTGCTGTGTCCTGAGTACACTTAGGCATTAGGGAGTGTAGCTGAGAATCTGAGAGCAGG